GGGAGGAGGCTGCTCCGGTGGTTTTGGCTGTCGTGGCAGCACCCCAGGCTGCCTGCACGGTCCCCACATGCCCAAAGGGAGCCGCGGGCTTGTCGGGAGCAGCTCAGCGGCTCGAGTTGGGCCAAGAGCAAGAGATGCGCAGGGAGACGGTGAAGGAAGGAGCGAAGTTATGCGCCAGCAGAGCCGGGGCGCTGCCACTGCTCCCAGCTGCCTCTTCCTTGTCAGGCTGAGTCACTGCTTTACCCAGTCCTGTTATAAAACACTTTAGAAATGGCGTAAGCAAGTCGGAAGAGGAGTCGGCGGCTGTCTGCAGGAGTTGCTTGGGGACCATCATCTCCCGATCCCGGGGCACAGCCACTTCGGGGTGATGCACAGCGGTGCCAGAGCAGCCCTGAAACAGCTGAGCTGGAGGAGGCAGACCCTGGCAGAGCCGCGTTACTGAGCACCCATTTGGCAGGATACACCCACCCTTCCTCAGATCAGGTCTCCCGCAGCCCCTCGTGGTAATGTTCCCAACCACCAGTGCTGGGAGGAAGCCCAACGGGGTGGAGTAAGTGTCTTTTGGGAACCCTGTCCCCAAAGGCACTTCCCCTACCTTGCGGGCATGGCACCAGGATTAAAATTTGATTCTCCATGGCATCAGGCATAATCCTCCCGAGCCAAAGGATTGCCACCAGCACCCTAAAAAGGGCCAGCAGAAAGCGGAGCAGGAGAGGGAGAACACCCCAAGCACCTCACCCCGGGCAGCAGCTCCTGGGAACATCCCAGCATCTCTGGGACCACTCGGGACGGCAGAGTCGCCTCCAGACACACACTCTTGCTTGGCACCATCTGTTTCATTTTCTTACAAGTGCAGCAGTTGTCACCCCAATTAGTCAATTAATCATTTTCCAATCAACTAATTGGCTAATCAGTTAAACACAGCTCTAACTAAAGCCCCTGGGGATCGTCCTAGATGTGAGCAAGGAGCTTTTGGGACAGCTTCATCCCAAAGCTCCCCCACGGCAAACAGCCCAAGGGCAGCTGGGGAAGCGAAAATGGGGCTGCTGCTGAATTTCCCCTGCGCTTCCCGGAGGAAGGACACCAGCCCCGAGCACCTGGGGCTTTAGCCCCTCACACCCATCCACACCCCTTCTGCAGAGTGCTGGCTTGCTTAGGACTCACCATCCTCATCCTCCGGCTCTCTCACTACCAGCTTCTCATTTTCTGAGTCCAGATCTTCCTCCTGGAGGAGTTAAAAGCAGAGCAGCCGTGAGGAGAAGGCACTGTGCTAAACAACCTGTGCTGGGTCAGGGCACCCGAGCCTGCAGGGAAGGGAAGCAGAGACCAAAGCTCCTGTATCGAGTGCCCCTCCTCTGCCTCCTTCACAGAACAAGCCAAAGGGATGCGGAACAAGCCAAAGGGATGAGGAACAGGCCAAAGGGATGCTCGCTGACGAGCACGGTTCGTTAGCCTGCTTTCCTCTCACCGCTCAGTGCGGGGGATTTGCCGTGCTTGCTGCAGTCCCACCTGCAGCTCATGCTGGGACCCTGCCAGGAGCCCTCCTGGCCTCACCTGGCAAAGCAATTTTGGAAGTTTTGGGGGTTGCTTCCTACAAGCTTTGTCAAGCCCAGACTCCTTCTCCTTGCAGAAACTGCAAGTAGGGAGGGAGAGAAGTGCTCCAGCTCTGGAGCTAATACAGGGACACACGGCACATGTGCCTTCCTCCCACAAGGCAGAGCTCGCAGCACCCTGTCTGCAAACCGCCAGGAGCCGAGCCTGGAGGTCAGCAGCAGCGCAGGGCAGGCGTCCTCCCGGCCCCGCGCATCCCATTCGGAGTAATGGGACTGGTGTGCAAAGGGCAAAGCACATGGGAGAGAGGAGGGGAGCGCGGAGGGAGCCTGGCGAGCCACCTGCTGAGGGGGTCACAGGAAAAGCTGGGCTGAAGGAAACAAAGACGATCCGAGAAGGACCCTGCGCAGAGCTGAGCACCGGCTTCACAGTGCACGGCTTTAGATAAACTGCTGGAGCTCAGCATGCAGCCCCGACCCAGAACTAGGTTAGGTTTGTCATCGGTGAGGAATGTGCATTATTCACAGCCACTTGGCTTCTTCTCGCCACGCTGCTCTCGGGCTCCCCAGAAGGACACGCCACCGAGACCCCCACCCTCCGCAGCCACCGCTATTTTGGGCCGCGCTTCCAAACATGGGCACTTCCCGACGGACACCCGGGCTGGCTCCGGGGACTGCTGGGAGCGGGGAAGCACCCAAAGGACTGGCCTCTGGGAGGCTGCAGGGAATTGCTCAGCCCTGGTCCCGGGGACTTGGCCACCAGCCCTGGGCAGTGGTTCCCCATCTCATCCATCTGCCCTTGTGAGCCAAACTGCCCCCAGGGAGACCCAACCCTCTAGGAGCTGGCACGAGAAGTGGTACTTCAGCCTGTTCCCTGCCCGGGCATTAGGAACTGAGCATTTAATAGAAGCAAGCAGGAAACTTGGGTGCCAGACTCCAAGGAAACAAAATATCTCTGCTCCAGCCCAGAGGAAG